ATTGCGTAAATCTCGCAAAGACAGGCTTAGGGACAAAATAGGTGTGGAAAAGCGTTTTTTAATGGGGTTGGAAGAGGGGAGTAGTTTGGAAAAGAATAAGAAAGCAAGAGAAACCTCGGTCTGTGCGCTCCGAGTATGAACCCGTCTATTTCAGCCGCATCCCACCTTGGCATTAAGAAAGGGCGTGTCGGGCGAGTTTGACGAGCTCAGTTCTAGTTGCTCCAGTGCCAATGACCTTGAACCACAAAGCCGCTGCCGCAACTACGCCTGTCGTCAGCGTCACGTGGCAAAAGGCTGCGGAAGGCATGAAGGCTGAAGGGGTGTTTACGGGTCGAGCGAGCTTTTTGCGCTTTTATCGAGCGCGTTTATGTCGCCAAAAAGGACGCGACATCAACGCTTGTCTCTACGCTCACGTATGCACTGCAAGCAGTGCCTATAGTAAGTCTGAGGGCGGTGCCTTAAAATTCGCGATTTACCTATTTAGACCTCGGGCTCTGCCAGAGGTATACACAACTGCTGATTCATTGGGCAGAACTTGATAGTAATGGAGATTACTGATCAATTTTTTGTGAATTCTTCTACAAAACTGCTCTTTCCATCGCATTCGGACTTCTCAAACACCCTAAAACAGGATGTGCTGCCTACCTATGTACACGGGGGGGGGGGGGGCAAAAAAAAAAGAGTCACTCTACTCACATTCAAAACAGAATTAATTACACTTTGCCAAAACCAAACCGAATGAGCTCAATTGCATATTGAAGAGCACATTCTATTCTATCAAAAACATTGCATAGTGGCCTTCTAAACCGACGACACCAGAAGATTTTCCCACGGAAACATGGTTCGCGGTACGAGCTCAACGGGGGTCGAGAAACCATAGATGATTACGACGTCTCTGAAACGCTGGTCAAAAGCCATTTTGCATAGTCAGAGCTAGTGTCTCTAAGAAGTCATTCACCAGTTATCCGATTGAAGAATTTATGTAGCAGCTTCAGAATGGAGCGATTATTGTAGGCCTCCTTAAGCTCGACGGTGATGACAGATGACGTCATATTCTGGAGACGGTGAACGCAGCGAAGGTGGGCCTGATTCTGCTTATGGGGGACATCTAAGGAATAATTTGCCGTATAACTCCCAATAACAGCGGCATCCTTTGCGACGAAAAGTTTGATGATATGCGCCATGGGCAAAGTGACTCTTTTTTTTGCCCTCCCCCCCCCCTGTAGAAGCTTCAACCAACCAATTAATAATGACATGGATAAGCCCGACAATATTAGCCTGTCAAATATCACACAAATATCACATATAAATCTTGGAACCAACGAGCACAGCTCTCGAAAATATTAGAAGCCGAGGATTCCTCTTTAGGGTTGTGCTTGGGTCCTGGGATAGGTCGTATTCAGAAGAGCGTAGAATCTGCGTGCCAAGTTTCACTAAGGTTCCCTGCTCGATGCTCGTGTGTTGGGTACATTGGCAGGGTAGCTTCAACCTCATTATCGTCAATGCATTGGACCCTGGTGACGCTGTACTTCTGCGGCCCCTCATTGCGCGCTCTTGTATGAGACAAAATGGAGGGTTATGCATATGTTGGCGGAGATTTAGTCCACACCCCATGCACTTGGCTCAGGCTCACCCAGGATAAAAATGCCCTGATAACAATATTTCACCTGTGCAATCCATTTCACGGCCACTTTTTTAGGTCTGCGTAGCAAAGCGCAATCCTGCGCGGTGTAACAGGCAAAACAAAGAAAAACACTAATCACGTACGACAATGCTATGAAAACTCCAAGTCACTGGCAAAGTTTTGGGGTTAAACCGCAAATCACGGGCATGTGCTTCAAAAATTCATTTATTGACATTTAAAATAAAAAATCAACACAATTTCTGATGTATAAATACAATGTGCACAAAATTGTTCCAGCTGTAAACTTACATCTCAGAAAACACCTAAATCAAAAAAAAATGCATGCGAATTTCAGAAGTGTTGGAGGGGTACAAAATATGAAGGCCCATGAGATTCCATGCACTGCTTTCTATGTAAGACTAGACGTTGTCTTCAGTGTGAATATAGAAGCAAATGTAGCTGGAGGGGGGTGGTGAGCTTTAAGGTTACATCAGCTGGTGCCGAGTACAGCGTCTTACATTAGTTTTTGCAAGAGAAGGAAGCACCGGAATGACTGAAAGATTTCCTAGTGCGAGAAGGGGTCCAGGCCACTATGAGTTCCCTGAATATCGAAAGCTGAGGTATGTGCTTTTCGCAAATCGACTACGTCGGGCCTTCTACACTGTTCTACGCCTTCTAATAACGCACCCCCCCCCTCAAGCTACGCTTTGGCCCTAAATTTAACTTCTTCAAAAAGCAGCTATACTGTTCCTTCTTTCAAAATCGACCCTAGCAGGCAGCACAATGCAATATTATAGTTAACTAATAGTGACATGAGTGACGTGAGTAGTGTTGTACTGAGGAGGGTCGTGGTCGATATGCGTTATAGATTTGGTGTATGCCGACGGCGGTGTATAGGGAGGTGGAGACTCTGAAAAAAATACATAAGCGAGAAAAAACTATTTAGGACGAAAAACCTATAGCCGCTTAGATGACGGCAAGTTCAAACTCCAAATGTGAGGTGAATTTGTGCCTCTGCCACACCCTCTGTGCGACTGATAGATGTCACGTCCGAGCAGGGGATACCCTAAAGTTGCGCCAAGTTCAGAGCTCGACCGAGTTTTGGATGTAGTCCCTCCACTGAATCCCAAGCCCCGATCGGTCTTCTCCATTCGTCATAACTGTCTCTGTTGTGTCTGAACTCTGCCAACCACCTGCCACATGTCGCTAATTACGACGTCCAGAATTCTCTCCACCCGGGTTGCGCCCTTAAAGTGTCGATCTGCTGATGCAGGCGATTTAATCAAGCAGCAGCAAAAACAATCCATGTACATAAGTAATTTGAAAAATACGTCACAGATTCTACCTTTATTCGAGATAGTGTTGGCAGATGGATTGTACTAAGCTACTGCATCATCTGGCGATCCTAACCCAGACCCGTGAACCGGAATTGGGGTTAGCTGCCCCTACCTATCGCCTGCCTAGATGGTTATGATTCCTATTTACCCGAGTAATACATAACAGTAGGCTGTAATGAAAACCTGCATCTACTCCATTTTAATAGGAAAGCCGATGCAAATTTTTGAAAGGAAATCAGAACACATTCAAAAGAATGAAGTGAAATCTGTAACCTCTTTTATTAGTGGTCACTATGAACGGTCCAAGACATCTGCTACACCTTCGCACGAAACAGTCCATTCCTGCTACAGCAATAAATGTGAATATAACCACCAGCAGAAGTATGGATAGAACCACCATTTGCACCTCTTCATGTGTCCAGCTTTCTAAATAATCCATTCAACACCGATTTATCACCGTGATGGAGGATTATGAGCATGTGGAAAAGAAAGTGAAAATATCAGAAAATGGAATGAATACGAATATCGAGATAGTGAGTTTTGTTTAGAGTGTGCTGGCGTCTGCCGCTTGTGGGGCAATGGCCACAATTCGCCTGTCTTCGCTTTCGAAGGTTCTGTCATAGGACAACAGGTATGTTCTCGTGGGTAGTAATGCAGCCAGCTATAAGGCCGAGTTTCCCATGAGACAAGACCAACAGACTGCTTCTCATCGCTGCTTGAAATTCTGGGTGAGAGCAAGGACTTAAAGGCATACCCCAGGATCACATTGGTGTGGCCCTTGTGCACGAATGTGAATGTATTGGTGGGAAGTGGGCCGGCAGTAAAGAAAAAAGGAAAAGAATCCGTCAAAAACGCTTAGGTTAAGGGCTCACTCACCTTCCTAATCGGCTGTGCTAAGGGAATGAGAGACTAAGCGCGGAGAGGAGAGTATGAGGCGAGAGAGCACTACAGATGAGAGAGCGCCAGACAACAGCCTGATAAGAAAAAAGTCTGCAGCTTGGGCAGCTTACTTTGCAAGGCCTAAGCGCTCTTATCGGTCGGTCTTCGTGCACGAGGACGCCACATCTGTGATTGTCCTCTAGGGTTCTATACTAGTGACCGAAGAGAAGCGTTCACACGAACGAACTCTGCCTGTCGTCTCTTCAACATCAAATTAGCCAAAACATGACTGAGCACCCAAAGTGAAGATGGATTTTTTTTCGCGTCTAGTTCCATTCCAAATCGTAGTGGCATCTGAATGCAACTCGACTAGAAAGTGAACATGCCAATCCTCAAAGGCGATTTCGATGTCATTTATCCACCTTTGCAACAGTGGAATAATCTCTTGGCCTGGACGGCGTGTGTTCTGGTCCTTGCTTCTGGCAAGGGAGGTCTTTCAGGGCAAGCGTGCTTTTCAAAACGGTTCCTGCATATTGTAGGGACGCATGTAGGGAACACAAAACCATGTTTCATTTTCGCTGAACGGTTTTAGCAGTACCAAAAAAGAAGTAAGGTACTGTTATGGTTCGATCCCCCGTGGCGACTAAATTTTGCATTTGGGTTGGCGCCTACGGTTGGTGCCAAATCGCGCTAAATGTCAAAATCAGATGTCAATTCATCGTCAGGACCATTGAAGCCAACAAGTGGCCGCCAACCTTGAATGCAAAATTTAGTCGCCACGGGGGATCGAACCATGGATATTACTACTACAACCGTTCAGTCAAAACGAAACATGGTTTTGTGGTTCGCACATGCGTCCCTACAATAAGCAAGGAAACCGAGCGAGTACATATTGACGCATCGGCACTGGTGGAGTTGAGGTGAGTAACCTATTGTGGTAGATTCCGCTCGGTTCATAAGAGTGGGTGACACTTGGCCAAATGCCAATTCATGTTAGGCGGGTAAGCAGCATTGATTGTTTCGGAACGCTTTCAGGCCTTTGACAACGACGAATTTGTCGAAACGTTAGGCTGAATAAAAATTCCACCATACTAAACCTGTTTGGCATAATAGCAACAACTAACTGTTCAAGCGGGAAACCGTTTTGAAAAAGGGCGGCTTGCCCTGAAAGAGCCCCCCTTGTAAGCAGTGGACGTGGTAGGCAACACTGCTTGCCGCTTCACTACTTCGGCCGTGGGAGCATTGATATGAAGTGATTTCTTCCGATGATCAGCCGAAAACGAACAATGGAAACATTCTCAATTTTGGCGGCTATGAGAAATGATGTGATGGGCACCCAAATCTATGTATGCAGTTAGCAATAGTTCAGGATTTTGTGAAAACGAACTAATATGTGATGCAGGGGCCTTGAAGGAGGAAAGAAAGAAAGCTAAGCTCCAGATCAATCATCAGTGCGGAGGAGGCCAGACTGATGATAAGAAAGATAGGTAGTAGTTTAGAAAGGCAGGAAAATAGATTGGAAATGAAACTTACCCTCTGCTTCTTTGTTGAGCTGATTGATCTCGTAAATTTCGGCGTCAGTGAGATTGTAATTAGTTAACAGGAATCGGAAGGAATCGGAACGGCATTCCTGGAAACAGCAAAAGTTTGCAGAAATTCACTTAATGCACTTAGAGGCACCCTCATCAGCATAAGATCATGTTTGACATAAGGATATTCAAAAATGATCACTGGATCGAGTTAGGTAGCAGTTAGAACCAAGGGGCACGATCAGGAAAGCCAAGAGCTAAGCCTGTACCAGACAGATCCCTGCAGGTGACGTTGCTCACAATTTTGACAGAATACTGTACTTTCTGAGCTACAGGAAACGATAGCCTGCTGTAGAAGGTAAAATATGCAGCCAAAATCCTCCACGATGGGCCACAGTGTCCCGCGGCTTTTGTGAACGGCACCGTATCCACTATTCAACCGTGATCGTATTACCGTAATTCTAACAGATACGGTGCACAGTAAGGACCATAAGAAGGCGCAGTATACCGTAAAAGGTGAACGTGAAGTAAACCATGCAAAATTGTTCTCGATTGGCCACAAATTCCCGGTAGCTTTCCGTGAACGGCACCGTATCCAGCACTTAACTTGACCGTATCCGTTTTTTAAACAGATACTGTACCTAAGACCCTAAGAAACTACAGAACAGTGTAGAAACTTAAGTATCCATGGAACCGCCATGCCGTGCTTTCTGCTAAACCAGACCGTATCCAAGCCACACAGCTGTTTACCGTATTTAGAACAGATACCAGATATCCACTACAGTGAGCTACAGGAAATCACAGCTTACTGTAGAAGAAGATACAATCAAAATACTTCAACATCAAAAATTCTATAGATAGGCTTTCTGTGACTGTAACCGTATCCAGATGACACAATCTAGACAATACTAACCGTATTCCGAACGTTTTTCACTTCAAAAGGACCACACTGTTTGAAGATGGCGGCTTCTTTAAACGATGGCGTTCCGGCACTCTTCAACGCGGCGGATAGCGCAAAAGTTCGATTCGCTTTGGCGCGACGCTCATCCAGCTCGATTCGGCAATATGACATCGGCCTAGTTAAGCTGCAGCTATACGTGCAAGAGGTGGAAATCTTCCCACGGTTACCCACGGTTTTCCGCAGCTTTCGTAAGCGGCGCCGCATCCGGCATATGACCTTGACCGTATTGGAAAAAGGATAAAGCATTTGCCGTTGATCAATCCCTTTTTGGGATGCGGCACGCATTCTACTTCCATTTGTACATTCGTAGTGGCGTTTGAATGCGATGTGGCCTATACAATGACTTGCGGGGGCCAGCCGATGTACAAGTCAGTGTTTTTATCCTCCCAGACAAGTCTGGTACCAAACTAATCGACCTAGAGAAAGGATTGGTCGGCTTTCGACGACGCACGGCCTAGAATTCAATCCCAGCCTAAAGCATACATTCAGAATCGCCTACTGAAAGCCACAAATTTCTGTAGCTATCCGTGGCCAGTACCATATAGAGCATACAGTTTTGGACCGTATTGCCGTATTTCAATCAGATACGATATCCACTGCAGTAAGCTAAGGAAACTATGGCTTACTGTGTGCAAGTATCCAATCAAAATCGTTGAAGGTTAGCCACAATTTCACGTGGCTTGCTGAAAAGGTACCGTATCCAAAGTTCAGCTTTGATGTTTTACGGTGCCTTCTACAGAGAGTTACAGTATCCTGTAGTTACAGTGAAAAGCAGCATATCCAGTTGAGATGGCTTCCGCTTGTGTACATGCCACATATTGGGTAAAATTCGCGAAACCGTTCTCAATTCTCAGTTTTAAAACAATTTTCGACACTTGAATGAAAGCAGGACATTGACGAATGTGGAGTTTCTGAGTGCACGCTGTGCGATGTACGGCATTCAATCACACTTCAAGGCACGGGTCAGGATAAGACACTTATAGGAATTGTTTCCATCACCAATCACTAATGGTCTGGGCTGCACTCAGAGGTGGAGGCGCAACGCCTCAATCGAGATGGCGCGGCCACAAGGCCCCTGGCGTACTATTTACAGCGATAGCTGGCTTGCATCAGCTATGCCCGCCCACCTCCGGAAGTGGTGCGTGGCTGGCATAACGTGTGAAATCAGCTAGGTTGATTGCCGTATCAACCGATGGAACGGCTGGCATATCCGGAAAACTCGTTTGGACGTGCCTCTCCCCAAGCCAGCCTCCTTCACTGCTAGTGGGAGGGGTTTTCGGCCTTGTCGACGGTTTTTCTCAGTTTTTTCTCCACTGTCGTTCCACTTCGCATCTCTATACTCAGTTTCAGTCGCCATAATACCCCATTGAGCCCGACTTTTGCCTTTAATCCAATTTACCACAACCTAACTTGAACTTGACCCTCGAAAGGGCTAACGAACCAATGTCGCCTGTCCGCTCGCAAGAGTCAAACAGGGAGGGGGAGAGAACAGGGCCCATGGTGGATTGAGCATCAGCTTTTTGACAGAGATGCAAAGAAAAAACTTGGTAGAAGTGAGGGAATTTTTTAATTTAATAATGTCCCTACCCCCCACCTACAACACTCGAGAATCCTCCCGCTTGGCCGCATGAAATGTGAAGGATTGAAATATTTCAATGGGTTCAGAAAATGCAGAAACGATTGCAAGCGGAGGGTAGTAGCGCAAGAATTTTGAAATTGAAATGCTCAAGCTCGTCAACTGGCACTGACGAAAATAGCAGGACGAGGCATTATCAACTGGGTCTTGAAAGTGTTACGCCAATGTGGAAATGTGGAGGAAGTTTGTGTCCGCTAGTTTAAAGGCAAATTCCGGGATTGAACTGGTGCTATGAGGCGCTCTGTAGTGATAGCTTAGCTGCGGAACGACCTGAAAGTGGAAAGGAAAGCAAGAGAAATCTTTGGGAACGCTGAAATTAAGGTTTACCCTTTAATAGGGTCGGATGTGGTACGATGGCGAGAAAGGGTGGTCAAAGAAGACAAAATACGCGAGAGAGCACGTCGTTTGAGAGAGCACGCTGATCTCTACATCAATGCACGCTGATCTCACCACCTCTCGCGGTGGGTGGGAAGCGTTGGAACTTGGGTCGATGGTTGCAGGCCCGTAAGGATTAGCGCCCTAACCGCGCAATTTTTGCGACGAAGCTGGAGTGATCTAGGTAGTTACAGACCTTACAATTTCCCCGTGGTATCCCTCCTGCTAGTCGGGCCAATCCCGGGGTTTGCCTTTAAGTCGCACTGCCATTAGAGGACTAAGTGGTAGAGCATTTGAAGTTGATCAGTTCCTCTTCTGGGATGTACACTATCCATTCTCCCATTTAGCGCAGTGGGTTAAATGCGAAATGTGATGCCTGTTCAATGAGTTGCTAAGGATACTCGATATACAAGTCAATGTTTTTGCCCTCTCAGGGTTGAACAATCCCCTCAACCGCTGACCGATCCCGGAGACATGAAAGCCTTGGTCCGCTCATGCAGCTCGACCCATTTGAATCTCATACAACACCAATGACCTCCAAGGGTCATTTTTTAATAGATCTCAGGTGGATCGAGAAATTCCTCTCCCATTTCCTGTTTCATTTTTGAGCCACACTGATATCGCTTGAAAAAAAAGAGAGCACATGGTATTCAAGCAATAGTTTCGAAAGTCTACGCACCACTAGAAATGTTCAAATAGGAAGCAAATGAGCTAATGAACAAGAGAGTAGAGAGCCAGAGTTGATAAAGATCAACAGATATTGCACGGACAGGATAACCAAAGCACTCATGGATATTAAAAAGCGGATAATCCACTTATTCATTGGCTTTATGCATTGCTTTATAATCTGCATTGGAAGATTGGGTGTCATCTGCCATCCAGGGATATTTTGTCACCTCGTTGTCCAACACCCACTATCTCAGAAACTTTTGGCCGAAGTCTGGATAACTTAGTGTAGGATCGGGAGTGACGTGCGGCTGGTCTCAGATCTACGACTCCCTTCCGACGCATGGTGATTCAGAGTCTGCTTGTCGAATTTGGTTCAGCCTAACACACTCCATTTGGCTCACAGATTCTAAGTATACGTCGGAGCAAGGAGGTATATCACCACGATTTCTTTGAATGGCGCAAACTTTTCTCCCCTACTCTCTGAGAAAGTAAATACTTTCTCATCTCCCCTAGAAAACAGACCATTAAGATTGAAGAAGTACCTTACTCAAAATCTCAAACCTGCGTTCGCCTAAGGCAGCTCTCAGATTTTGCAAATTCAGCAATTCGCTACTACGAATGCGAGGAATCGCTAGCGACTCTGCGGAATCACTAAATTCGCCAGTCTGACACTCGCCTGGGGGATACACCCTCTCCGTAACCAAGTTGTATATACCGCTAACCCCATTTGGCCCAGCACACGGTGTGATAATCGCCCAGAGTAACACGCTGGAGTAGCACGCATGACCCCTCTGAAATAGTTAACACTTGTGATGTCGAAGAAAAATTCGGTTTGTTTCTCTCATTGAGTCCCTTCTTTATGGAGGGCGACGAACAACCTTAGGAAAATAAGATACACATTATGTACAGTAGCGCTCAAAAGTCTTCGGTGGAATACTTTTCCGTCTATAACCACCAGGGTGAATATCGCTTGAGGATTCCTCAACGGCACGTCGAGGATTCTCTGCCCGATCAGAGACGATCTCTCGCGCGGACATTCACACTCGCCATGCCGTGCCGTCTGTGCTCTCCGCGCGGATGTTCACTCTCGGCACTACTCTCGCATGGTAGAGAGCTATGGTCGAGGATTTCCTCGACCGTTATTCACCCTGATAACCACAAATATGGACGAATAATTTGTCAGATTCGGAAAAAAATGGATGCAGTTGCCTCGGTAGAGAGTACATTCATTGATCGGCTCCATGCTCAGGCCTTATAAGATCTTAGCGACCTACAAGAAGTTTAATAACAAAGTATTGAGTTTGCCTAATATTTCGCATCATTTGTTAGATTATTTGATTAAATTGTAAACTTTTTACAATTGAAATATATTTAAAACTTGATCACACTCGAAAATTTCTATTGAAATGTCTTTTTCATTCTTAATTCCTTCTCCCATTCAATACTAATATGGTGGATCAGTGAAGACGGCTTCAGTTCAAAAACTTTTCAAAATTTGAACTGATTTGATCAGCCAGAAGAA